TCCGCCGCCGCCGCCCGGAGGCCCGCACTCGCGCGGCGCACTGGGGGGCGGAGGGAAAGGAGCGGAGGGCGGGGCGGCGCCGCGCCGAGGCGCGCTGATTAGTCCTTGCGGCGTCCATCTTGCGGAGCGCGCTTCTTGATTGGACGAGCGTGCGTCGCCTTGGGCGTGCACTCCTGTGGCCCTCAGGGCGGAGCCAGCGTCGAAGGAGGCGGGCTCTCTGAGGTGAGGGCTCTTCTGATTGGACACACGCTCGAGCTTCTTTCTTTCAGAATGAAAGGGAGGCGGGGTCCTCGGGGAGGAGGTGCTGCCATCTTTCGCGGCCAATCATAAGTGCTCCGAGAGTGTGCCAATCACACTGACCGGCCTTGGGATTGGAAGTTGGGCAGAAGGGGGCGTGTCCAGAAGTGCCAGGTGTACAGAGTGACTCTGCCTTGGTTCCCAGGTTGGGGACAGCCGGCCGGGCTAAGACGTGGCCGTCGCCGCGGAGCAGGGAAATCGGATGAGATATGCCTGCCCCTACGTTTAGGGAGAAAGCTCAGCTATTTTCCTTCCAGAACCACCCAGGTGGGCCAAAAATTTCAAACAAATGCGCCTTTGAGAGTTGCACGGGCGCACAATTAGGAAAAAATAAATAAAACAAAAGTTGCATGGGCCTCCCTAGCCACTTTTTTTTTTTTTTTTTTTACAATTTTTAAGTATTATTTTTATTTTATGTGTACAAGTGTATTGTCTGCATGTATGTGAGTACACCTGTGTCCTGCAACGAACGCTGCGGAGGTCAGAAGAAGGTGTCGGATACCCCTGGAACTGGAGTTAGGGACAGTTCTTAGCTGCCATGTGGGTGCTGGGAATGGAACCCCCGCAAGAGCAGTCAATGCTCTTAATGGCTGAGCCATCTCTCTAGCCCCTTGTTTTTCTTTTTTAAAAAGTTGTTTGTTGTTTTTCCCTGTGAACGAGTGTTTATGTGGATTTATGTGCACCGTGGAAGCCAGAAGAGGGCATCAAACGCCCCGGAACTGGAGTTTCAGCGAGTGTGAGCTGCCCATATGCATGCTGGGATCCAAATCTAAGTTCTATACAAGAGAAGTATCTTCTCTTAATCTCTGAACCATCCCTCCAGCGCCCCAGGGATTTTCTTAAAATGTAATTGAAGGGCTGAGGAAATGTCTCATTGGGTAAGAGCTCTTGCTGTGAAAACATGAGGACCTGAGTTCAACTCCCCAGCATGCATGTAAGTGGTAGAGTGTACATGTAATCTCAGCATTGGGGAGGTCAAAATAGACTATGGTAGCTTGCTGGGAAGCCAGCCTACACAAAACAGCAAGCTTACAGTTCCATGAGAGACTGTTTCCAAAAATAAAGTGGAGGGTCTGGAGACATGTCTCAATGGTTAAGAGCACTGGCTGTTTTTGCAGAGGACGTGAGTTCGGTTCCCAGCACCCACATGGCAGCTAACAACTGTCAGTAACTCCAGTTCCAGGAGATCTAACACCCTCTTCTGACCTCTTGCATTGCACTACACATGTGCACTTATGTACACATGCAGGCAATATACTCATACACATAAAATAAAAATAAATAAATGAGGCAGAGAAACTGTAGAGGAAGAAATCAGTCTTCTTTGTGTGGCTATGTAACACACACACTTGTTATTAATTATCATAATCACTTAAAGATAGTCTGATACCGAATAGTGATTGAAGAGTGGGTTCTCAAGCTGCACTTGGTGGTGCCTGCATGTCATCCCAGCACTTGGGAGGCAGAAGCAGAGGCAGGAGGATTGCCAAAAGTTCACAGCCAGCCAGGGCAATGTAGTAAGTTCCAGGCCAGTCTGGCTACAGAGTAAGACTGTGTATTAAACAAGAGAATGGAATGATGTTTCTTCCCTGTACTACCAATATTTGGGAGGCCGAGGCAGGATGATCAGGAGTTCGAGGCTAGCCTGGACTACATAGTGAGAGCCTGCCTCAAAAAATTAATAGATAAAAATATTCTGCCCCAAATTCTGCTTTTCCTTACAAGTAGACAAACACAGTGAAGACTGGCATAGAAAAACTGTTGACCCAGGGTTGCACAGGGGCACACTGTAACTGGCCATCATGCTGCTTCTTACTACAGATGGTGATCATTAATTGAAAAATGATGAATGAATTTGTTTCCACTAAATTCTATAAATAATTTTTGTGTAACACTGAAGACATGCTTTGGGAACTTCTGGAGGTGAATCTGAAGATGGAAAAGACACAGTCTACACATCAAGACATTTATACCACAGTTAGGGAACCAGGCAGCTCAAGTCACGGGGCAAAGTGGAAACCAAGAATCCATGTATTCAGGGCTGGGAAGATGGCTCAGTCGGTAGAGTGCTTGCTGTGCAAAGAAGACTGAATTTGGATTCCTACCACTAATGCAAAAAGCTCGGTATGGTTGCGTGATAGTGTAATTCCAGTGCTAGAGGTGGGGGGAGACAGAGACAGCTGGCCTCAGGGGCTTGCTGGCCAGCCAGTTTAGCCAAATCAACAGTCTCTGAGTTCAGTGAGAGACCCCTGTGTCAAAAGATAAGGTGTAGGGCTGTTGAAATGACTCAGCCGGTAAGGGGGCTTGTCACTAAGTCTGATGACCTGAGTTGGATTCTTGGCACCCATTTCTGGAAGGAGAGAACTGACTCCTGCAAGTTGTTTTCTGACCTCCACACACACGCTGTGGACACATGCCCTCCCTACAATAACTAACTAACTAACTAACTAACTAACTAACTAGCTAACTAACTAAATAATAAATAAATGTTTAAAAAATTTATAGGTAGAGTGATGCAGGAAGACACCTGAACACAAATGAACATATTTTTTCATGCTCAAAAACTAGGATGGGTCATGATCATATGAGTCACACACACCCACACACACACACACACACACACACACACACACACTTGGAGAGGATGGAAACTTCTCCAGGACCTTGAACTCCAGATTTGTAGTTTACCTCATCTCCTTCAATGTTGTAACTTTGTAGTCTGAGTTTGTAATGTGAGACCATGCGATACTAGGTGTGTTGTGATCTTTGAAACAAGATGAAAACAATGTTTCTTTGTGACACTAGACCCCACTGGAAGGACTGAGTTTGGATCCCTACCACTCATGTAGAAATCTGGATACTGTACTGTGTACATCGTAATCCCAGGGTTGGGTGAGGTGAGGTTACAGTCCAAATACAGAGAGGAGCAGGGACACAGTGACTCAGGTTTATAATCCCAGTCCTCAGGAGGTTGAGGCAGGAGGATCTTGAGTTAAGGCCAGCCTGGGCTACATAGGGGACATTACAACAACAACAACAAAAAAAAAATGAAGAGGAAATAGAGACATCTAAGAGGGAAATGTTTTTGGTTTATATAT